CCCCACCCCCCCATCAGCAGCGCCAGGGAGCCAGCCAGCCAGCCAGCCCGCCATCAAACCAAAGTCATCACTCGACTCGCTCACTGACTCACACCAGGGACTCGCCCGGCGGCCGCGTGTGAGCTTCCCTCCCAGCCGAGCAGTCAATTATAGATTGCGCCCTCGGCTCCGCAGCAGAAAGGCCCACATTGGCATTCCAGCTGCTGCTGTGTGTACACACCGCCACCGCCACCCCCCCAGCCTCCTCCACCACGTGGCTGTCGCCCTCCTCCCCCTCCTCGCCAAGGCTCATGCGCCTCGCCATCTGCAGACCTCTCTCGAGGCCGAGCAGACCGTCGTTGCTGTCGGTGGGGTCGAAGTCCATCCCGCGCCTCAGGGCGGCCTCCCTGCTGAGCTCCAAGAGGCTCACGTGGATGTCCACGGCGCTGTCGAACGAGTGGGGGAGGGAGGGGCGGGGCGTCCTGTCACTCTTCCCGTCGTCGGGTGGTTCGGCTGCCGACGACAGTGTCTGGGGGACACCAGGTGTGTCGGACTGTTCTGCGGGCGAGGGAGGGTCCGACATCCCCCCAGCTCCAGCAGCCGGTGGGTCGATGCCATCGGACACCTGCATGCTGCCCGTTGCCGTGTGTCTGTAGGGCGCCATGAGCAGCTCGAGGGATACGGGCGGGGGGCTCTCCCCGGGAGAGCGGAAGAATGAGGTGTAGGTGCTGCCGTTGGCGTTGTTGCTGTCCGACGAGCTGCCGTGAGGCGGCGCTCGCGTCGACTGGCTGGGCCCCGACACCGATGGAGGAATGACGCCCAGCCTCTCGGGATCGTCAACATACAGACCCTCCGCCTCTGCCTCTGCCGCCGCCTCTTCGGCATCGCACTCGGGGATGACCTGCCTGCTGATGCTGATATTGCCGAGTGAGCCACCGATGCCCACGCCGCCACAGGCGTCACCGCCGAGCGTGTGGTGGACGTAGCCGGTGTTGTGATGGTGTCGCTGCTGGGCGGGGGGGCTGGAGGGGGAGGGCTTGGGGTGGTGAGAATGGGGGTGGTGGGAGTGGCGGCCGCGTGTTTTGCGGCGGGGGATGCGGAAGTGACGCGCAGGGAGCGACTGCATCATCACACACACCACACCACACGGACTTGAACAATCCTCCTTCCTCAGTGCATGTCCGTTGCGTGCATATATCGTGAGTGTGTGTGACCACCTTACGTACCTTCCACACGAGTAGGTAGAGCAGGCACCAGGAGAGGATGAAGAGGCCTCCCCCGACGAGCCGCAGGTTGGTGTTGGTCGCCCAGTCGTAGGCTGTGTTGGCGCTCGTGGATGGACTTGACATCCCATCACGCGCAGAGGCAACGACCCAAGCGCCGAATGCAAACCCACAAACCGACCCTGGGAGGGAGGGAACGCACGGCGACAGCAGGGGGCTGCTTCCGCGCCGAGAGAAATAAGACCGAGAGATGATCCCCAATGGAGTCGGGAGGTGCTCACTGCCTCTCAGGGCATGCACACACAAGCGAGGACCTGCCTATTTGGCGCTTTTGCATCTCCTTGGTCTGCGAGCGTTGCTGCGAGCTTAGGGGAAGTGACCTTGAATGGAAGAAACGAAGGCGCCGATTATGCAGCTGCGAGGCTGATACGATACGAGCCTGCCATCGATCCATCGATCGCATCGACGACAGACAGAGATAGATAGATGAGCGGAGAGGTGGATCCTCTCCTGGCGGGCCTCTCCAGTGACTACTGGGACGATGACGCACGCCGAGATCAGCTCAACCTGCCGCCGCAGAACAACAAGAAAAAGAGAAGGATTAGCGATGAAGATGATGAGGACAGACAGCGGCCATCCGAGGGCATCTTGGGCTTCAAGGCTGCGTCCGCACGGAGCAGGGCAGTGGAGGAGAGCATCGGTGGGGCGAAGAGCAGGGAAGAGAGGGAATACTGCTTCAATGTCAACGAGGGCGGGTTCACTGAGCAGATGCAGGAGGACTTCTACGTAAGGCAGGCCTGCAGTGCAGGCCAGGCAGCACACACACACACACAGGGGTGAACTGACTGCATGCACGCCTGTGCGTGTGTGTGTGTGTGTGTACATGTGTTGTGTGTGGGGTCATGCAGATGAACCTGCATGACGGGAAATCGGTCGGCCGGCGTGGGCTCGGTCTCGATGCCGACGAGATGCATCGCCGGCTGCTGCAACTGAAACGGTGACTGACTGACATACACTCATCCACTCACAGCAACCAATGATCTTTCAAGACTGACTGTCCTTCCTTCACTCTCAGCAGCCTCTGCCTTCTTCTCTCTGTGGTTGTGTGTGTGTGTGTGTGTGTGTGTGTGCAGGCCCCAGGAGAGAGAGAGGCGGCGGCAGCACGATGACAGAGACCATCGAGGGTACAAGATGTGCACTCATCTGCTCCCCCCTCCCACATCCATTCCATCAGCCACTGTGTTTGCTGTCTGCCTACGTTGTCGTCAGGCGTGATCGGAGGCGCTCAAGGTCACGATCAAGATCAAGATCTCTGTCACCATCCCCCGGCCATCTAAGAAGAAGGGACGACATGCCCGTGAGAGCTCACCGGAGGCGCGATGACGATGAGAGAGACGAGGACGGCAGGTGGCACCAGGACGGCGAGGCGGGTGGTGTGCAGCGGCCGGCCACCACGTCCGATCCAAGGGCGCTGTCGCTCAAGGAGAAGATCGCGCAGAAAATGAAGGTCAGACAGATGGCGTTCATCATCAGCCATGGTCACATGGTCACGTGTGTGTAGGCGATGGCTGAGAAGAAGCAGAGCGGCGGCGGCAGGTCTGCTGCAGGGACGTCGCGGAATCCGCTGAGGAACGAAGACAGGTCAGTCAGTGACTCGACGCAATGGATAGGTGCGCACTCTCACTCTCACTCTGACTGGATTGTGTTGCGTGTGGCTGTGGTGGGTGCGCTCAGTCGTCTGCTGGACATCAAGGAGGCCATCACACGGGAGAGCCGCCAGTTCGGCGGCGGAAAGGTCAAGCACCCACAGCACCTCCTCAAGGTCGGTTAGTCGGTCACATGCACTGCACGCCGGAAACGCTGGCGGACACCCACACCAATGTCTCTCAGGCCGAGCAGGACGACCGTCAGGCAATGGCCAGAATGATCGAGTCCGATGATGCTGATGGATTCGGGTCCTTCCTCGAGCAGCGACGCATCGAAATGAGAGGGAGTGGGAGGGCGGGGGCAGGTGACGCCGAGCGACAGCAGGGGAGTGCGGCGAGAGAGGAGAGGGACCATCTCGACGCCATATTCGGAGCGTCGGCGGCCCCTGTGGATGGTGACGTGAGGGATGGTGGGGGTGAGAGGGGCGGTGGTGCACCGTCCGCAGCACCTGGTGGTGGTGGTGGTGGTGGCGGTGATACTAGCCTGCTTGGTGCGGCCGCATTACCTGGCCGACGGAATGCATGGCGACGCAGATGAGATGATAGATAGCTTGATGATGGGGTTGTGTGCTGTGCTGTGCAGTGGGCGTCGTGTCGGTAGATCGGTGTGCGCGTGCGTGCGTGTATGTGTGTGTAGACGTCTGACCGCACCCCTCGGTTGACTAACGGTGAAAGATCTGTCTGTCTTGTTTGATTCCATCCCATCATCCATCCTTGACTAAATACACACACCTACACCGTGATCGATCGGCGAGGGAGGGAGGGAGTCCACACACACCACTCACATACACACATAACATACAAACACTCGCCGAACTGAATGAAGCTTCCCACCCACACAAAAACCCGTAGGCACACCCACACCCACACACATACACACATAATTACAGCCCTATAAGGCAGCAAGCTACACCTGTGGCCTTCCCCGTTTGGGCCCCCCCCCACCCTTTCCCATCAGCCGTGCCGCCGCCTTCTTTTGGTTCTTCTCGACCTGTTTCTCCAGGTTGATGGCCTGGTGCTCGTTCATTTTGCGTGGGTTGAGGTCGAATGCGGGGGTGTCCCGGGGCCGCATCAGGAGGTAGATCATGGTGACCAGAGACCACGCCAGCAAGATGTAGATGAACACGTTGTTGGCGAAGAAATACCTGAGACACACACATACAGAAAGAAAGAGAGGGAGAGGGGGAGAGAGGGAGAGAGTGTGTGGGCGGATGGGATGGGTGGGGGATGGCTATCTAGTGCTCATGCTCACTTGAAGAACTTCAGGTGTCTAATTTGTGCGCTGAAGATGACGTCGGCGTCCGTCAGGCGGGCGTACTCCGCAAAGGCATCCTGTTTGTTTGTGCGTTTGTTAGTAGGCCACACACACCAACCCAGAGCAGAGCCCAGAGAGCATCCATCCATACCATAGATACGGTGCGGTGTGGTGTGGTGTGTGGGCGGCCAGTTCAGTTCTCCTTGCATCGCATACCTGTGAGAACTGTACGATGGCGCCCGCCGAGATGAGTATGAGCATCACGTTGAACAGGAAGGTGTTCATGTGCGTCTCATGCGGCTTCATCGGGTGAATGGGGAACAGAAAGAATATCTGACACACACACACATAACACATACATATTGGCCGACACACACACATACACCCACACCCACGCCCCCCAACGCCAAGAGATCAGATCCGTGTGTCGGTAGGTACCCTACCCTACCCTACCCTCATTCCGAATTTGAAGCACCCCTTGACGACACACGCCATGAGGTACACGACCAGTATGGCGTATGCGGCCAGCGAGAGCATGAAGAAGCCCGTCCGCTCCATGGCGATGAGGATGTCGTTGAAGAAGGCCGTGATGGGCACCAGGTCGCCCGTGAGGCGCGAGACGATGTTGTAGAGGAGGATGTGCAGCAGCCACAGCACCGACAGGATGGCGCAGAGGATGCCCAGCACCAGCTTGGCGATCGATATTACCGGGTTCTCGCCCTTCTCCTTCAGCGAGATCTCCAGGTGGGCCCACTCTCGCTCCAACAAGTACACCGCCTGACAGGCAGACAGACACATCGATGGTGGGATGGTGGCTGGAGTGGGTGGAGGATCAGATCAGATCACCTGCTTGAATTTGTTGTATTCTTGGCTGAGTGCAGCCTTTTCTTTGCGGCTGCTCCACCCCGTCTTGCTACGCAGGTCCAGCTCCTTGCCCTTCAGGTCCTCACCGATCTGACGCAAATTGGTCGCCTTCTCGCCCAGCAACTTCTTCCGCGCACTGAGTCACGCACGTCACACACAGACACGCAAGCACAACAACAACAAGTGAGTACAATACACTCATGAAGCGAAGCGAAGCAAACAGCCATGCAGCCGATGGCCCACCGCGTACCCACCTGAACTTGGAGAGGTCCATGGCAGTGGGCCGGTCGATGTAGCTGAGTATGAGGTCCAGCGGGATGGCCGTCAGACCGATGCCGCCGAACAGGGCGAACAGGAACCAGCCCACGAAGCACATAATGCCGATCAGGTAGATCTCGAAGCTCACATTCACCTCCAGCACGGCGTCTTTCGCCTTGCTGCACACCGAGGGCGCCTCAGAGCTGTCGGCAGCGACTGCCCTGTCACACTCGATGCTCTTGACGGGGATGGAGGCCTTGCTGAGGAGGGCAAAGGAGATGCCGACGATGGCCGCCACAATGACGATCGTGAAGCCCATGTAGAAAAGCGCCGACTGCCACGGCTTGCACTTGGTCACCCTCTGGTCCGTGTCGGCCTCGTAGTAGAAGGTGGCAAACGGCAGGAAGACCGTCACGAACACGGCGATGCAGATGTACATTCCGCTCCAGAACCACTTCATGTCTAGCCGCGGGCAGTCGCTGCCGCCGAAGAGGCATGACGAGAAGGCCGGGCGGGAGTTGTAGACGTCGATGGGCAGGAGGAGGATGAGCAGCCAGGCCAGGAGCAGGCCGACGACGACCATGATTTTGCAGAGGACGGCCTGGCCGATGGATCGGTCATCGGGGTGCTCGTAGTAGTAGAGGAGCTTGAGGTTGGTGAGGATGAAGATCACCACAAAGGCCAGCACCGTGAACAAGATGAACAGATCCATGCTCAGCGGCAGAGAGCACACAAAGAGCGTCACGTCGATGATATGATCTCACACAGCTGCTCTCGACTCATGTCGTTCTTTTCCTCCTTTCATATTCGCAAGCTCGCCCATTCAGCAGCGGTTTCACGGACACCCTAGTGCGAGCTGTTCTGCTCTCGGACATCCCTTTTCTCTCTGTTTCGCTGTTGCGGCAGGCAGGAAAGCAAGCCTGGGAGATCCTGGTGCTTCACAAGGCGAAAGGAGCAATTTCGGCAGAGGCGGAGATCGGCGCGAGAGAGATACACGCGAGATCTGTTCGTTTCGACAAGCATCCTTCGCTCCCGTGCTCATCATCATCATCATCAGAAGATCCACTCCTTGCTCGATTCGGCGGCTTCCTGAGATCCGATGACCGTGGTCCGCTAGCGGCCCACGCGAGATGACCAGCACCGTGGACTCTGCCTCATCGTCACACACGACAACCCTGTCAGCAGCAGAGGAGCCAGCCACCTCAGCTGTCCCACCGATGGAAGCCACTCCCACGTCAGCGTCTGGCCTGATGCGCCAGAACACGCCAAGCTATGCCAGGCGGGGGAGGAAGTCCTCATTGTTCGAGGAGGACAAGTACAAGCGGCTGAACCTGCAGAGGCTCGCAGAGGTCTGTGAGCCAGACAAGCCGAGAGAAGCCAATGCAGCCCCACACACAGGCATCGATGTGTGTGTGTGTGTGTGTGCGTGTGTGTCGTGCAGGCGATAATAGAGGACCATGACATTGAGGTTGAGGCCGAGGACGAGAAGACCTACTGCCAGAGGATTGCGACGTCGTGGCGGTTCGAGCTGGGTGTGTGGATCCTCATCATCCTCAACTGCCTTGCCGTCTGGATCGAGACCAGCGAGTACGCCAAGAAACTCAAAGAGGACGGCGAAAAGCCCAACTACTCCATGGTCACATGGATACCCCGCATGTATGTCAGTACGTCAGACAGACAGAGAGAGTTGCATGAGATTGAGATGAGCAGCAAACGCAGGGACGGGCCCAGATGTGACTGGTGTGTGTGTGTATGTGTGTGTGTGTGTCTGCAGCTCTCCGTGGCTTTGGCTTCAGTTCGCGTGTCTGGCGCTGTTTGTGCTGGAGGTGGCCTTCAAGGTGGCGGTGCTGGGGCGAAAGTTCTTCCGCAATGTCTACAACTGGATCGACTTATTTGTCCTGCTCATCACTATTGTGCCATGGTATAGGAGGGAGGGAGGGAGGGAGGGAGGGAGGGAGGATGGGACAGACCACACCACACCACACCACAGCCATGCCACGTGCCTTCAACGTCTGTCTGTCTGTGTCCCTCTTTCTTCAGGGTGATGTCGCTCATCCTTTCAAAAGACTATGGCCCCGGCAGCAACGCCGAGATGGCCTGGCGCAAGCTGCTCATCCTGCGGATCGTGCGCCTCTTCGCCATCACCAAGGCACTCAGACGATGGCCCATCTTCAGAGAGCTATGGTCAGTCTCGCCTCCATCACCATCACACACACACACACACAGAGAGAGACACACACACAGGCCTACCGACACATTTGGCCACTAACTCCTGTGTGTATGTCATTTATATGGGTTTTTTGCAGGATGTTGACCACCGGGGTGACATACTCGATCAAGACGCTCATCTGGGGCCTGGCCCTCACCTTTGTGCTGCTCTTCGTCTTCGCCGTCTTCGCCACGAGCATGATCGGCTTCAGCACTGACTTCATCCCCACCGATGCAGAGAAGGGATACTTCAACAACGAGGACAGGCCCTACTGCCCCGACACCGACGACGAGATCGCTTGCTACAGCGCAGAGGCCAAACGGGAAGTGCGGGTGAGTTGAGTCCCTCCTCCCCCCGTCGATGACCTCCTCACATCGCCTTGTGTGTGTGTGGTGGGTTGCAGGAGAGCTGGGGCACGGTGACGCAGAGTATGGCGACGCTCTTCCAGATCATGACGCTTGACGACTGGATGCAGGAGATAGGGCCGGTCCTGGAGGAGCAGCCCGGCATGCTCCTCTTCTTCATCGCCTTCATCGCCGTCTCCGTCTTCGCCCTCACCAACCTCATCACGGCCGTCCTGGTGGAGAGCGCCATGCAGGTGTCGCGCGAAGACGAGAAGCAGAAGGAGTACGAGGCAGCCAAGGAGGTGCAAAAGCTGAAGAAGCTGCTGGTGCGAGTGCTATGCCCCGAGAGCTCCGTGCAGAAGCAGGACAAGGACAAGGACAAGCCCAACACGCGGCTGGTCATCCCATCCCTCCAAGACGCCGCGACGTCGCCCACCACGGCTGAGAAGGCGGGCGGCGCGGGAGCGGCAAGCAAGACGGGGACGGTCAAGGCAGTCATGCTGTCGGTGGGGCACTTCCTGAACCCTTTGCGCAAGCGGCGGCCGATGGACAGCGCACAGACGGTGATGCGCATGGCGACTAAACATGATGCGTCGTTCCGGAAGGAGCAGCTCATGGAGGTCATCGACAGACCTGAGATCAAGGTCCGGACGCTTGTGATCAAGGGTGGATGGATGGATGGATGGAGGGGCACACTCACCCTGGGTGTGTGTGTGTGTGTGTTGTGGTTGTGTTTATCAGCGCTTGATGAAGATCTATGACGTGGAGGAGTCTGATCTGCTGGGTCTGTGCGACCTGCTGACCATGGACGAGATGAACAATGGCACTGGAAGTCCCGAGATCATGGTCGAGGACTTTATAGTCGGCACACAGAAGCTCCGGGTATGTCCGATGAATGCACACCTGTGACAGACACGCAATGCTTTGGGCTCTCCTGCACTCTGTGTGTGTGTGTGTGTGTGTGTGTGTGTGTAGGGTCAAGCAAAGAGCAAGGATCTGTTTGAGCTGCGCACACGGCTGTCAGCCATGGAGCGGAACCAGCTCAACCTCATGGAAGAGATGGCTCGCCTGCGATCCACACTCAGGTCGGTAAAAGGCAACACACACACGCAGACACTCTCTCACCCACACAGACAGGCAGGCAGAGAAGACAAGACACCTTACTTACCTCGCTCACCTCTTGCTTGCACCAGGGGCGGCTCCACGGCCTCTCTCGACGACAAGCTCGGCCCCTCTCTCCGCGTCTACAATCCATACGCCACACGATCCACCCTCGGCTCCGCAGAAGGGGGCACGCCACTCGCAACCACCGGACAGACAACCGCCACCGACTCGCCCATCGACACCCAGCGGCAGCTCGACGCGCGCAGCCCCAACAGCATCAGCGTCCCATCTGGCCTTGGCGCGCCGCAGCAGGCGAAGGGCCTGGTTCGGCGTAGGAGCTTACGCCGTCGGCTGTTCAGTGCTGTGGTGGGTCCGCGTTTCTCGCTGCGGCGGCCGGTGGCCCCCCACAACCACCATGAAGAGATGGACGAGGGGGTGGCCGAGGACAGCATACGGGCCAGAATGTCTGACGTGTGATGGAGTGTGGTGCTAACTTAGGGCAGGGAGGGAGGGTGGTTGGTTGGTTGGTCTTTTGTGAGTGAGGGAGGTAGCAGGTGTGTATGTGGGTATGTGTGCTGCATGTGTTGTGGGTTGGTTCATGCAATGCCGCTGCGGCGGTTGTGGTGTTTCATCATCCTATCCTGTTTTTGCCCATGAATTTTCCTGTCACGTCCGTTTTTAGTGCCGCACAAGCCTTGTGCGGTGCGAACTCACTGCATCCACCCGGCCGTGGTGTCATGTCATGTCTTGTTGTGCTGCGTTGTGCTGTGTCTGTCGTGTTGTGCCTGCCTGCCTGTGTTGTGTCTTTCATTAATCCATCCCTTTTCTTGTTTTGCGTGCGTGCGTGCCGTCATGATTCGATTCGCATCACATACATACATACATGTGCGTTGCATACGTGTGGTTTTGTACACAGACTGTGCGTGGCGGCCTTTTTCTGTGTTTGTTTTCCCCGTGTGCTATGCGTCCTTTGAGAGCGCCTCACACGAGTTTTTCGTGTGCGTGTCGGTCCACCACTTGGTGACTCACGTACTGCGCGTTGCGTTGGGATGGGATGGGATATGGGCGCAGTGCACCCATCACCTGCATCACCACCTGGTGTTTCTCGCTCACGCCAACCGTGTCTGGTATGTTGCCAACTGCCTTCCTGATTGCAAACGTGTCCATGTCCGTGTCCGTGTCGGGTTGTCTGTCTTTATATAGGCTTTAGTGTGCGCATACCACTGTGGACATGCAGACGTGCGTGCCTACCTACCGCCTACCGTATCTATCGCTCCCTCTCTCCATCCCTCCCTCCCTCCCTCCCTCCCTCTCTCCCTCTCTCCCTCCCTGACGTCCTGGGGATTTTCGTGTGCGTGTGGGGTCGAGTGCGTCCAATGGTTGGATGGATGGATGGATCAGTGAATGGATGAGTTTATTGGTTGGTTCTTGTTTAACCAGACGAGCTGACAGAGTTCCCAGAGAGAGTATATGAGTTACGAACCCGCGATGACTTAACGTAGGGTGGACAAGAAACGACGCAGACCAGACCAGCCCAGCAGCAGCAACAGCCGCACACAGCCATACACACTTCAGCTCAGCGCAGCGAAACAGAAAAAGACCAGAAACCAACCAGATCAGATGATGACCCTCCCCCCCATCTCGCCCCGTCTCTCTCAATGGTTCATGCCCTCGCTGCCCTCGGTTTTTTGGCGTACTGCATACCGCACAGCGGGCTGCACAGGTTGGCCTGCGACGGCTCCATCACCAGCACTCTCCCACTCCCGCCCTCTTTCGCCCCGGATGAGGAGGAGCACAGGTAAGAAGAGACACAGCAGCTGTTGGTGGTGGCTGGCTGTAGCTGTGGCCGAGCTACTGTGAGCGGCTGTCTCGGCGACACGAGTGGGGTGTATATGTGTGTGGCCGTGGCCGTGGCTGTGGCTGTGGCTGGCGGAATGGGAGCTTGTGCAGCACTCGGTTGTGCTTGTCTCGCAGGTGGTGCTTGTGCTGTGACTGGTGGGAGTTTATCCTTGTTCTTGACTTGGGGGGGCCCGACGGTGGCGTCGCGGTAAATAGGCCGCGACTCAACCACAATGTACTCGTTAACCACCTCGCCTGACACACACACACAGAGACAACAATCCCTTCCTTCGGCTATCCAACTTCTGAGCAGGCGTACCTATGACATCTCTGTCCCCCTCTCTCGGCGCCCAGCAGCACGACCGCCCCACCCCGCCCCTCGCCAACACCATCGGTGTCTCGCCAACAGGCCTTCCCGTTGGCCACGGCGAGGGCGGCGCCGATGCCGATGCACCCAGACGACACGGCATCATGCAGATCGTCGGCACCTTGGGCGGAGTCTGCAGCGCACGGGCGCCCCTCGGAGTGATGGATTGCGGCGTGGCCAGGAGGGACGAGCGTGGCGACTGCGACTCTTCGGGGATCGGACTGAGGCACGGCCTCGGCTGCTGTTGCGGGAGCGGGGGCGGCAGTGTTTGCCGCGTGGGAGACACGTCCGTCTGTGTGGCGTGGTCCACCTGAGGCTTGGTGAGGATCCTCGACAGCCACTCGGGTGTGCGTGCGCGTCCGACCGTGGCGCCCAGCTTGGTCTTGACTGGAGGTGCTGCTGGAAATGTGTTGCGTCGCTTGATGTCGCGGGCGAATGGGAAGCTGACCCATGAAGATGGGTGCCTCGGCGAGACGCTCATGTTGAGCTGCACAGGCAGCCTGGAACGCCGTTCGGTCTTGCTGCCTGGCGACGGGGGCGGCAGCATCGACACACCCGAGTCGTTGAGGGCCTTGTTGCGCTGTGATGCGTCCTCGTCCGGCGACGTGTAGAGGCTAAGACGCGAGTAGGGCGTGCCGATGCCGCGGTAGACGTCTCCCGCCTCGCTGGGCGGGCGGGACACGCGAGGGCGGCGACGGTCGGCTGACGCCTTCCATCGCTGCAGCTCCTCCACGAGGCGCTGGTTGTCTCGCTTCAGCACATCTGAATGACGCACAGACACAGACACGTGCAATCCACATATATGTGGCCTGCCATCTGCACCCACCGACCCATTCTCGCGGTGAGAGCGTCCATTTCCTCGTCGATCCCCCGTCGCGGCTCCATGGGCGTTCCGACAGGCGTTGGATGACTTCTGCTTGACCAGGCCGACATGCTCGACAGCAGCTGCAATTGCTGCGGCGCCTCGAGCGGCGACTGAGGGCCCTGCACCATGATGATGGGCGACCACCCCATGGCCAGAGGAGACGGTGCCATCAGTCGCAGACCTTGGGACGGGGGGAGGCGGCCAGGGGCAGTGAGTGGGCGGCCTGGTGTTGAGGGAGCTGGCGCACTCTGGGCTCCACCTGGTGGCTTGCCGACCGACGGGGGTGGATGGAGCTCGCTGGGAGTGTGGACACTGTAAGGGGATCCGTCACCGCGGAGATATGGGGTGCCACTGGGGCTGATCGGGGCTGCGTGCACCGCACACCACCGCCACACAAACAAACAGATAGATGACCACCACGCCAGTGTGTCTGTGTGGATGTGTGTACCTCTCGCGAGTTCGTCTGCGAGCGAGATTCGAGCATGGACAGGGCCAGTCTGCATCATAGCTGCAGCAACGGCATAGAAAAGGGGTATGTCACAGTCACAAGCAGCCAGCGAGCTCGGGGAATGATGGAGTGTCGAGTTTTCGCTCACAGTTTGGCTGGGAGGGTCGAGGGTGGTACAGTCGGACTTTGAGCGACGCCACCTGCTGCTTGGCCTCATTGTAGTGGGCCTGCAGGTGCTGCATCGACTCCATCATACGCTCATGCAGACGAGACACCTCCCTGCACACACAGACACACAGACACACAGACAAGGGATTGGAATCGGGCGGCTAGACAAGTATGTGCACCTTCTGACCTTTGCTTGTCTTCCTGCGCTTCAAAAAGATCATTCTGCAGCTCGTGGATGCGCTGACGCAAAGCGTCATTCTCCTGCAGCAGCTCTGGCAACCAGACAGCACAGCACAGCACACATGTGTTGATTCAGAAGCATGCAGTCCACTGACAGACGCCCACCTTGCATCTTCCTTTGGAGGGTGCGGATGTGGTCGTCTTTCTCGATCTGGGCCGCCTCGGCCGTGAGAGCCACCCGCTGCGACTGCTCCATTGCCAGCAACTGCTCTGCCTCCATGTAACGCGCATAGATGTGCTGTAGTCACACACACACACACATACAAATTGGTGACATTGTCGGTTGCGAGGTCTGTCCTTGCTGTGACGATGCATGCGTACATCGATGTCCTTTTGCAGCTTCTCGAGGTGTGCGATGGAGGCCCTGCGCGACTTGTCGACGCGGAACTCCTCCGCTGCCAACACGTTCTGCAGCTGAACCCGCAACTGTTTGCACCAATCACACACAGGTGACACGAACAGACGGACATGCACTATTTCGTGGCGCACTGCAGCTGACCCCTTCTATGTCGTCTTTGGCCTTTTGTGCCGTTGCCCGCTTCTCTGTCTCGGCGCTGGCCAGCTCCTCTTCCAACTGCATCATGGCTGCACTCACAGAAGGAGCCACAAAACAGCGACAGATATAGAGAGAGGAGGAGGGAGGAACAGAGGCCTTTCCGTGCCATGCGTACCATTGATGAGCTCTTCTCGCTGCCTGCGGTAGTGCTCCGCTTCTGCATACAGCCTACAGCCACCAAACACAGACACACAGAGACATGAGACTGTGGCGCGAGTGGAAGAGGGTGTCAAGCAAGGGGTGGGTGAGCCACCTTTGGTTCTCTGCATCTGTATCGGCCATTGCGCTTTCGATGTCCTTCCGTCGCTCGTCAAACTCCCGCTGCTGCTCGTCGAACTTATCCTGCAGACAGGCCAGGCGGGACAGAGTATTGTGTGTGTATGTATCAATCGCACCCACTCACTCACTCACTCACTCAGCCGCATTCATTGTACATCAATAATTGTCTCGTGTGAATGAACAACGAATCAGTCAACCAATCAATCTCACCCTTAATGCCCCATACTCCGACTTCAAAATCCTGCGAGGCACGGCGTACAGTCATTCATAACGCTCCCGTCACTCACTCCTCGCCCTCTCACCTATATGTCTGCTTAGGGTCTGTTGTCTCCAAGAAGCGATCAGCTCCCTCAGACAACATCGGTGACGCACCCAGTGACGACACACCACCCACCGACCTTCCCTCTATCTCCTGGGTCATATTGAAGCCACCCGGCCGAGACCCCTCCGACTCCCCCATGCTGCTGGGCCGCTTTTCAGGCAGCCCGTCGTTGGCTTGAGGCTGCCCCTCACTCATCTGAGATGCGGGGCTGCGGGCCCCCAGCGCTTGCGAGGCCTTGACAGTGCTCCGGTCCGCCGCGAGTGTGCGCGTGACGTTGCGATTGGCTGAGGGGCTGCTGGCGGCGCTCGATGCACGTTTGGGAGCGGGGGGATCCGCCGGACCTGCACGGGAAAGGCAGAAGGGTGGATGCTGGCACGTGTGACTGGCATGGCGTCCATCCAGTGTTTTCTGGCGTACCCGGCTGCCCCCTTGCTTCCATGGTTGCGGACGGGGTCCTGGTTACAGAAACAATTTCAAACAAACAACCACAGGAGGGGCGGTTGTCTTCCTGTTTCCCTGCCTTTCTTTTGCTCCTCACCTCCCTCCCGAGTTACGGCGGCGGCCGAGCACCCCAGAGGCTGGCCCTCTCTTGGGGCTCATCGAAGAAGCCTTCATTCCGATGGATGGACGACTCTGTACAGGTGGCAAAGTTGCCTCTCTTGGTTTCCAGCACTCGACGCACCGTGCTGGGGGTCGAAAACAGCGTCTTCTCGGTGGAAGGGACCAAATGCGGTTGTGGAGTCTCTCCTGATGATGCTTTGAAAAAGCTCGAGGGTGGGCGAAAGCCCGTATGGCCAAGCGGTAAGGCGTCGCACTTGTAATGCGAAGATCGTGAGTTCGATCCTCACTGTGGGCTGGTTTGCCTCTTGGGATATTTTGTAGTTCGAAGTCATTTTCGGAGGGCGTATCCACCCCTGTTGCCACCCATTTGGGCTGCCGACGCCTCCACGGGGGAAAAAAGGAGAAGGGGAGAGAGGGGAGAGAAAAAGCGCGCATCGCCCCCACCTGCCCCCAGCCTCAATCGCGATTCTCCGGATGCCTGCGATACGGCGGAAGTTCCGCTTTCTTTTGCGGCGCCTGCTGAACCTCGACACAGTCATACAGACCACTGGTGTCTTTTGGCGCCGCCTCTTTCCGGCCTACCTCGCCTTATTGCTCGATATCATTTCCACATGGCTCATCCAGGTGAATGCCAGCGTTTTGTACCGTGGCGGCACGATTCATCTTCGGTCTGTGTCACTGGTCACTGCAGGGCATCGGTCCGTTCTTCATTCCCGAGTTGGGTGGGGACCCCGCATATTGGCTGCCAATCATGCAGGTGAGCGACAGCCGCACCATGGAGGCACCTCACCTGGTGGAGATCGGCGTTTTGATTTGCAGAGTGTTCTGTTCGCTGCCACGATGGTGGGGATGAATGTGAATGGCGTCCTGGTGGATGTGCTCCCGCCTTATGCCCTGGTGCAAATAAGCGTCCTGGGAACGTCCATATCCGTGGCGGTAGCAGGCGTCGTCACCCAGCCGTGGATGTTTGTCGCCACAGCAGGTGCAGTGCATGCCTTATTCCTTCCTGTGCTGGCATTACATGCACATCCACGGAAGTGCCAGATATTTGTCTGCGTGTGTTTGTTGTGTGTGGCGTGGATAGCCTTGGTTGGGGCTACTGCCTGCACGGATCCTGTGGTGGGTGCGATGGTCTTTGAAGCGATACCCGACTTCCATATGGACGGACTCACGAGTGTTCTCAGGGCCCAATTCATCACATACAAAGTGAATAACACGCAGTCGAGAACCTCAGCGTGATGATGAGACATGCGCTTGTTGTGCATGCATGTCCTCTCCAGTCAGTCACCAAAGGGATGGGCTTCATCCTCGGCCCTCTGCTCGCTATCCTCATCTCGCCCTTCATCGGTGTGTCGATTGAACCTGTCTTGCTACTGCATGAACGCTGTCCGGTTGTCATGTGTCCTACAGGCTATTCGCTGACGTTTTTCAGCGTCGCAGGCCTTGGTGGCGTGCTTTTCATCCTGCTGGCCGGCTACAGGCTTGCCGGAAAGCACCCATCAGTCGACCAAATCGTCCAGGCTTTGTAAGCAGCGAAATACCCACCCCTGTACCGTCGCGAGCGCTACCTGAGCCTGTCTCCTTCGTTTCTATGAATGGGCAGTGCGGCTCTGGTTCGGTCTGGCACAACGGAGGTCGATGAAGACGAGGAAGAGCAGGACGACGATGAGGGCAGCAATCCCAGCATCGACGTGGCCGCCAGCTATCAGCACACGCTCTCAAACGCAATGGAATCCTTCCCCACTTCGCGAAAGAAGAGAAAACCCAGGGCGAGCAAAGGAAATGCACGCGCCATTTCAGCACAAACTCACCTGGCTGACCGATTTGTCTGTCATGCAGTCGCAGGGCGGGACGAAGTTTGCCAAGGCCGTCCGCATGGCCATCTTCGCCGACCCCTTTCTCTCGCACGCCATCCAGCGGTCCAAGACACTTAAGCGGCCGTCGATTCAGCGACTGACACCAGCAGAGGAGGCACTCCCTCCCGCAGAGAGACGGTGGCTCAAGATACGGAAGAACCTCAGGTACATCGCCGACCTCGATGTGGAGGGCAACCGCTCCCGCCATTCCTTCGACCTCTTCAGTCGGGTCAAGAGCAAGACAACGTCCTTCACCACCAGCAGGGCCGACAGCAAGCGCAAAGCCCGCGTCAAGATGATGGACTCAGACCTCGAGGATGCCACGCCCATTGCGACATCCTTTTCGACGCAGGCCCTGCTGCTCGGTCAACCGGAGGCCGACAAAGAGGCGGCGGCGCCCATGGGCCGCGACCAGATCAAGTGGCTGCGAAGCGCAGCGTTGCTGTCCGAGATGCCCTCGTCGCACCAGCTATCAGACATCATCTCTCGTCGCGTCTCCGAGCACCTCCGAGATGGAGATGCAATGGAGGCGTCTCCGGAGCCGCCCAGCTACAAGGTCTACAATCTCGACATAGAAGACGATGTCGACCACAATCAGGACCAGGCCGCCTCGCCACTCATGATGTCTGCCGAAGACGTCGAAAACCCGCAGGAGACGATAAGCTCTGCTGTCCGGCCCTCATCGTCCACGTCCCCCACCACCAAGACAAAGCCATCCTGGTTCTGGCGTGGCCACAAAAGGGACACCCGCCGGCCGGAAGAGCCTAGTGGGCCTCCTACGCATCCGCATCGACATCGCGAGAGGCGCGGCTCGCATGCTGGGAGCGCGGGCAGCACCGGCAGCTCAAAAATATCCCGCCGGCCGAGTCTGGCCACGAGTGTCATCATGACAGTGGGAGACGTGCAGTACTTGGTGAATACGCTCATGGCTGAGGAGGCCGCACCCTTTGAGGAGAAGCTGAGACGCGAAAGAGAGCACGCTGATCGCACTCATGCCGCAGCTGTGGAGGCTCGCAAGGCACCTGTGGCAAGGCAGCAGGAGGCTCCGAGAGCAGACGAAAAAGCGGAGACGGCAGAGAGTGCCGCGCAGCGGCTTGTGTCTCGTGGTGAGAGCGCCGCCAGTGCCGCCAACCGAAGTGTCTTGACCGAGTCAGAACTGCGGGAGCTGATGCAGCAAACGTCGCCCTTTCATCTGACACCACCCAGAAGCAGCAGCGCATCATCGGCTGATAACGGCGACCAGCCACCACCAGAGAAGATACCCACAAAGGACTTCTTCGCCGACATTGTTATTCAGGGCGGCGACACGACCTCTGCATCGGCCTACCCGCCATTCACTCCATCCTTTGCGCCACGTGAAGCGATACACGGTGCTGCGCCGGGAGAGGACAGCGCTGAAGCGCCCAGGCCAGCTGCTGGCCCGTGTTTGAGTCTGAGTGACGACACGCAACGGCTCTCAAGTACAGTGGTGTCTCCTACAAGCATCAAGCCGAAGAAAAACCTCGCATTCGACGAACAGGGCAGCGGCGATGTGGTGAACCTCACCTTGTCCGAAGAGTCCAAGGAAGCCAAAGGGCCCAACATTCAGATCCCCGCTTCTCCCAATGGAGTGTCACCCCATCTCTCGCCCGCTTCCCCCACCTCGCCCCATGCACATGAAGACGGGTCATCGGCTGTGTCGTCGTCGGCGGCAGAATCGAGCACGGCGAAGAAGCCGTCGAAGGTCAAGGCCTTAGTCCGTGCTGGTCTGGTGATCGTAGCGTTTGCCCTGGGTGTGGCGCCCTACCATGCGTGCGTGGGCAATTTTCCTCTGGTGGCCATCAAACGCTTTGGATATGACTTTAATGCGACCAACGCCACGCTGTTGGGATACACGACCGCGCAATTCATCGGCTTTGTGTAAGGCGGAGAGCCGAGCATCTTGTCCAAACGGTGCACGCCTCCTTTGTTGGTTTGTTGCAGCACCGTTCCCCGTTTCTTGATGCCGCATCTCGGTCCCTGGGCTGCAACCTTGGTGTAATACCAATGACAGACACACGTGCAAGTATCCTACTTACATTTGTGGATGGCCACTAAGTACTTCATTAGTGGCATTGGCCTTACCCCCGTCTCCCTGGCTCTCCTTTGTGTGTGTGTTCAGCTGTTTTCTGGGCCTCACTGTCATCGGTGCGTTCAACCTGCACACAGAGACACAAGCACTCCCTTGAGTAGCGGCTTCTTTGTGTGTGCAGCTTTCTACTTTCCTGACGTGTCGTCGCGGACGATGTTTCACGTTGTCATGCAAGTGCTGCTCCCCTTCTTTGGATCGCTCATGGAGCCAGGAATCACACGTACGCACCGCAACACACACGTACACAGAGAAGTGCACCTATGATGGATCTGCATTTCTGCAGTGTTGCTCACGAGTTTTGGGACTGGTCGCACGGGGCTGGTGCTCGCCCTGCTGGTCACGGCAGGGATGGGGGGGAAGTCACTCGCGTCATTCATATCAGGTACTAACTTGTCTGTCTGAGACAGCAAAAGAAACGCTTGCTGCCTTGATTTCGTCCTCTAGGTCTGTACTTTGCCAAGAGGACGTCTCTTTCTCTCTTTGGCGTCTCCCCTCCTCTGTGGATCGAAGACTATGGCTACAGCCGCCTGCCCTTTTACATCACCACAGCCACAGGCGTCGTCGCTATACTGTGCATCCTGCTCACCATCGACCTACAGCACTATGCCAAGGTGCGCAAGCAGCGGCAGCTCATAACGCAGCGCACCAGGTCGAGGCTCAGGTCAGCGGAGAAGCGTCGTAAGATGCGGTCGCGGCGGCTGAGGCGGGGCCCCGCCTTCCACGACGAGGAGAAGAAGGAGCTGGATGAGTGTCTAACCGAGTTGGATAAGGGTGCGCTCGCTGTCATCAGCGACAGCGTCCGATCTCTCGGGAAGCTGCTCGAGCTGTCGCGGAGAAAACAACACGTGGCGCAGAAATGAGCTGGTATGTATTCTGTTCTGTGTGCGTGTGACTTTTTCGTCGATCGCATGCTATCTTGTGTCGATACGTGTGGACAGCATTCACGTGCATGCCTACACGTTTTTCTCCCACTCCGTTCCCCACGGCACACGTGCTCGACTGCATGCACCCCTTTCATGTGCCTGTCTGCCTGTGTCACCGCATTTACTACATGTATGACTGTGTGCCAATCGCCCAACGGAGCCTGCAGCGAGGGGTTGGCGGTGCAAAGCTCAGCTCTGAGCTCTGGACCACCACCCTCAGCCTAATTCGGTATTAGGGTACATGCACGAGAGTACATGCGTGCAAGTCATTTCATGACGGATTCATGGTGCAATGCTGTTCTTCCTGTGGTTCTGCCGCCTCCATGATCTGACTGAACTTCAATCAACTCAGTTGCATGAATTGACCACTTCATGAATCGGTCACTTGTGTGTCCATGCGCCAGTCATCACACAGCCGACCATCAATCTCTCTCTCCTCTGTCTGTCTGTCTGTCCGTCTGTCTGTGTCTCTTCACATTCATGGTGCGAGGCTCTTCTTGTGGCTTCGCATGCCCCTCATGCTCATTCTGCTCGCTGTGCCGTCGATGAACGAAGAAGCTGGGTCCTCACAGGGCGGGACGACGGGCGGCGATGGACGGCCCGCGCACTTGGCGGCTCTCTCGTTCATAATCTCCTTGACCTCCTTCTCCTGAATGCACATACACACCACCAACACATACATACACACAGGTGACACGAGAGATGAGTGACATCTATGACATGTCATTCACCTCTTTCCTTTTGAGTTGCTGTTCCTTCTTTCTGGCGGCCTGTTCCTCTATTTGTGCCTGCTCCTCCTCTGCCGCCTCTTCATCCTCAGCCTACACACACAGACAGACACACGGCGATGCATAATTGTGTCTCACTCTCTCTCCTGTGTGTGGTTTGTTTGTTCACCTGGATTATGTCTTTGATGTGCTGTTCCTCCTTCCTTAGTTGCGCCTTGAGGCTGGCGTCGTGAGCTGCCAACACGCGCTCCTCTTCACGCGTCTTCTCCTTCTAAACCACACACACACACACACAGAGACACAGACGGATGACGGCTGACTGTCTGTGTGTATCTGTCCATGTGTGTGACCTCAGCGGCCAGTTGTTTGTCGTGCATCTGCTTGTCGGCCTCGAGCTGGTGCTCGAGTGCGATTGCCTTGCGCTTGTAGTCCGCGGTGCGTGCCCTGGCCGCGTCTGCCTTGCGTGCCTCTTTGTCATGGATGATGGCTTCTTTGGCGCGACGGTCGGCCGCACTCTCCGCATACAGATCCTCAGACTCACTCGCCAACTCGTCTACACACACACAGAGAAACAGAGAGAGACACACAGACAGATGTCTGGATGGGTCGATGGATGGATGGATGGATGGATGTGTGTGCATACCGGCGATAGCCTTTTCGGTGTCCGGTGCTGCTCCGCCGGCCTCGTTGATGCCGATTTTGGCACCGTTGACTGTGATGCTGAAGGGCGGGTTGGCGGCCGCAGTGGCGCGAGACACGACACACACAGACAGGAGCAACAGGACGGTCATCGCAAGTTTCATCATCATTATGATTTTGACGGCAGCTTAATGAGAGTGAATGACGATGACGCACTGATCGTCAATTGATCGATCAAGGGACCGATGCTGTCTGTATTCCTACAGTCCTGTGTACATACATGTGTGCACACATACAGCTTGAGATCTGCGGTGCCTCTGCTGACACGGACATTCCACACAATTAATGCGACCGTCGCAGCTAGGCAACGATGAGTGGGACATCCATCCAGTGCACCCATCCATCCGACACACGATGCACCACCCGTCCATGTACGCAGCTGTCGCCTATACCGCGCTGCTGCTGACGGAACGAGGAGACAGAATCTGCCAGCAGGGATAACCAGGAGGGATAATAATGAACAGCCTCCGGCGGCGGAAATTCGGCGGACCGGACCTCTTGAAAATTGTCTTTAGATGTTTTCCAAGGCATTCTTGTTCTTTTTGACCGTCCTGTCCACCCTCTTCATCCTCACCTCTTCTCTCACGTTCCCTGATGACGGACGCCTGAAGAAATCCAAGAAGAAAGGCCGATGCGCACCAGGTGCTGTGATGGTGGTACAAAACGGCGGCACCCCCGGGATCTGCATGGATCTTTGCTGTGTGCGTACGTGTGTTGTGATCTCTGATCTGCAGGTGCCGGGAATCTGGGCATCAACTATGACGCGATCAAGGATGCCCGCCCCTACGCCAAAAGAGAGAAACAAGCTGGGGAGATGATCACCTTCCACCACGTCATACCAAAGAGCCTTCTTGTCAAGGTCAACCTGTACCACGCCATCGTTGCATGAGCATCGTGACCTCTTGTGTGCTGGTTTGCAGTGGTGGAATAAGGCCGTGTGTCCGAAGGAGGGTCAGGAGGCGATCCGCAAGTTCGTCGACGTGTTGGCAGAGCATGCCCCCAACTACAGCGGATTCGTGGAGAACCGAGCCACTCCGGCAGATGTCCAGGAGTGGAAGGACTTCATGAAGGACCCCAGCGACAACCTCGAGCTCAACGTCCGCGCAAAGGTGGCTTTTCTCAATAAGGAATGGATGCCGGCGGATCATGTTTGTTTGCTTTCCTCTGCAGCTCCGTGTTGCAGTGACCTGGATGCCCGGCAATGTGGTTAAAGGCCCACCACCAGGCAGACGGACGGAAGATCCTGGATCTGACTTCGACTATGTAACCTCTCACACCCAACCCTCGCCCCCTCCTTTGAGCAGTGAGATCTTCCTCCATATTGTGTTGTGTGTGTAGGGTGTGTGTTGGTACCAGAGCTGCGTTCACGGCCAACCCCTCTGCCCCGCCGCCATCGAAGCCAACCGGCTGATGCGTCAATACGTCGAGACGGGAGATGTCTCCCTCCTTCCCCGCACAGTCGAGCTTTTCTCCCTTATTGCATCAAAGGAAGGCGACGGGTCAGTCAGACAGCAACAGACGACACACACACAAAGACACACACAAAGACACACACACATACACACACACACACATACACACACATATGGAGAGAGAGTGGCGTGTTGTGTGATGTTTGATGATGGTGCAGTGCGCCGTTCTACAACCAGCTGTGGACCCACCGCGGCAAGAAGTGGACAGCAGGCAGCGATGAGACCATGAAGCCCCTCTACTCGGCCGACCCCGCGGCCTACTGCCGCAAGCTGCAGGCCATGGAGGCCAACCAGACCACTACTGTCACTGTCAAGTTTGAGGGAGAATACGACGAATTCGAAGACGAAGAAAGCGACGGAGAAGAGGAATGGGAAGAGGAAGAGGAGGAGGAATGAGCTGAATGGCGGCCGGCTACACACACACACCATTGAGACACCATTCATATTCACTGATTCATCTGATTTCTTTCCGATGGCAAAGCGTCCTGAGTGTGGGGATCCTTGCGTGAAAGATGATACACCTGGACGGACGGAATCTTTCGAATGGATTGTTTTGGATGGGAAGCGATCTAATGAGACGTCCCACAGTTTGAATCGTCAAAAGGGTCCATCCATTCTCCACATTCAATGCGCCCGGTTGATGTAATGCACCCGGCTGCATGTCTCTGTCAGGCTCTCTCTGTGGCTCGGTCATGCACTCACAAAAGAAGAGCATTCACCCACCAAGAGACATCAAGAACGCTCAAAAACCTTCCACGGATATAAATTGTAGGTAGCGATACACACGCCACCTCTCATCCACACCCGCACGCACCCGCCCACACCCATTAGGGTCGCTCCTTGTGGTCCGCTTATCGATAAGTGCCGCTTCTTGATACTCATGCCGCCAGCAGCCCCGCCAGGATGTGGTTCAGCTGCCCGTGTCTTGAGGTATATGTACCTCTTCAAGTGCCTCGGCAGCAAGCTGTGGATGCATTTGCGACGATGAAGAACGCCGCAGCGTTGGAGAGTCTGGAATGCTCCACACAACATGGCAGACGTCAATCGACAAATGAGTTTGTCTCCGTCTCGCGGAAATCTCGCCCGATGATCTCACCCTTCTACTCATGCCCACACAGAGCAAATCGTGCTGCCAATTAATGCGTGCTAGACCACCTGGTCATTCATTGGCCTGGAACGGCGTGGCCAGCATCAAGGCATGGCATCCCGTTTTCGTCAAGGGGCCATCGAATACGTACACTGGATGGTCAACGTGGGTCAGTCATTGTTGCAACTGATCGTTTTGTCAACTATGTCTGTGTCCGTATCCATCCATCACATCACGTGTGCGTGGCCACTTGCCTGCGTAAGTGACTTCATGCGCTGCGTGCCCCGCTCGCTGGGCACATTTTTTCCGCTGGAATAATGGGTTTGTTGATGTATGTTACAACATACAAACAAATGGCAACCCTCCGAGCCCATCCTCTTGCACTCGCCTGCAGCCTGCTCAGGTGTCTCTTGTAGCCATCGCCCGCAATGCCTCGCCCATGCAGTCCTCGATTGTCGCGGCATGCATCCTTGATGGCCTGCCTTTTCTCGTTCGCTTCAAGTCACAGCAGAGGGGGAAACGCCGACAGAGACGACACATCGACATCGCTCTTCCTGCACGCAGCGCACCGACAACCACAGCACGCACGCAAGAAATCATCTGGTGGATTTTGAGCTTCCTTCCCCCCATGTGTGCTTACTCCTCTTCTGCCGGCGTGGGCGGGGGAGGCTGCTGCTGTGGATCCTTCTTCTCTTCGCCTGCAGTGGGCCGCCTTCGCCACTCTTCCCTTGGACCCTTGCCGCCATGATGCCGGTGGCCCTGCCGCTCCTTGTCCCTCTCCCGATGGCGGCCGCCAGACTGATGATGCGCAGGGGGTGCGCCAGGCTGGTGGTCGCGCTCACGGTCACGGTCGCGGTCAGGCGGTCTGGATGGTCGCTCAGCCGGCTGCCTGCCGCCCTGCAGTGGGGCGTCCGCCGGAACAGACAGAGTACTGCTTGTGGGCTCTGGGTGGGAGTCACTGGCGCGTGCTGCTGCTGGTGCTGCTGGTGCTGCAGAGCAAGGTGCGCCTTTGTGCCTGTCCCCACCACCAGCACTTGGCGTGGACGGGGCCTCACTGGGCGTGTGCTCGTGTTGTTGTCTTCGCCTGTGTGGCGACCCGCCCCGCGACGTGACGACATTGGCAGATCCAGTACTGTTGAGGCTGACGGAGGATCGGGAAGCGGGGCTGACGGCGCGGCCAGAGCCGCCCGCGGCTCGCTCGCCTTCCCTCTTCGCCTCCCGGTGGTCATCTTGGCTTGGCGGCGACGTTGATTGGCCCGCTGGTTGAGCAGCCGTTGCTGGAGCTGTAGCTGTGACCGCCCCCTCCTTCGGCCGACTGCGCCTTTTGGAAACCACCTCGATCCACTCTGCACCTGCACCAACGAGAGGAGGGGGGAGAAAGAGACAACACCGATAAATGCAACGCACTCATGGGCATGTCTGACGGGCTCTCTTTGCGCGTGACCTGGGGAGTCCTCTGCGCTTCTCTCCTGCTCGGCTGGGGGCACGTCCGGCACGTCTGATGCGTCGCCAAAGTCGTCCCCAAGGAGGCTCACCACCGATGCATTGGGTGAGAGCTCCGACTCGGGGATGACCTCGCCGTGCTTCTCCATCTCGGACTTGATGGACTGATATGATAAGGACAGCACACGACATGCGAATTCACTTGATGGACACGCGCTCCCCTCCCACCCATCGAAGAAGCTGCATACATACCTCGATGTTGGCGTACGCGTCTTCAAGCTCCCTCTCGAGTGCAGCCTGGGACTCCTTCTGCGCCTTCTTGCCTCGCTTGCCGCCACTCACAACCTGCCACTTCTTCTTCTCCTCCAGGTCGTTGACCCGTGCGGTCTCTCTTTTGAGGCACTCCAGCCGCTCAGTCTCGCACGTGGGCATCGGCATCGGCGGCAGATGGCCCACCGACGCCACACTTGACGGCACTTCATCCGAGTTGAGCTCGTCGTCGTCCTTGGCGCTTTCATCTTCCTCGCACACACCCTCGGGTCCCTTCCGAGTGCTTGGCGCCGACACTGGTGGAGCTGCTGCAGCTGCCATTCCCTCAGAGCTCACTTGTGGGGGTGGCTCCTGAGCTCGGGCGGTCGGGGCAGGGCCCTCTGCTGCAGCGGGCGGTTGCCGTTGGGCCTGGCTGTCTGACATCCTCTCACTCTGGGAAGGGGCTTCTGGTGTCGCCGGCGGCTGCGCTTGTTGGTTGCCCTTTCTCGACGCCTTGGGCTGCCTCTTGGGTGCGTCGGAAGAAGTCAACACTTCGCTGCTGGCCGTGCTTGATGGCGGTGACGGCTGAGGCGTAGGCTGGTGGTCAGCGGCAGGTGCTGTGGTCGCAGGGCGGCTGGAGACCTTCCCTGCCGCATCAGCCGCTTTCTTGGGCGGTGGGTTGGCCTTGGCTCTCTGAGCCTTGGGCGAAGAGAAGCCCGTGGCGACGTTCGAGTACGTCATCCCACTCGCTGCCTGTGGACTGGACGGGGGGCTCGCTTGTTGCTTCTTCGGAGGGGGTGGCGGGGGAAGGGGAGAGGGCGCCAGCGGAATCGCCGACGGCTGCTCAAGCTCGAACGGCTGGACGGGCAGCTCGGTCGGTGGGCACTTCCGGATGGGCTCTCCGGGGGGATTCACATGAAACGGTGGCACCGAAGCAGACGTCCGTTGAGGCACAGATGGGCCGGCACCTCGCCCCAGGCCCCTCCTATCTGCAGGACGGGAGGGTACACCCTCTCCTCTCTGCTGGCTCTCTCTCGGGGAAGGGCCGTCTGCCCTTTCGCTGCTCCTCCCTGCTGTGGACGCTCTCGCAGCGGCTTGAGAGGCCGCTGGAGGGCCGGCGGTCTTCTCTGCCGATGGGGCTGCTGGTGTGGCGTGCGGCGCGGCTTCTGCGATGGACTTCTGCGCGGCCCTCAGCCAGCTGCCCTCAGCAGGACTGGGCGCGCTGTCATTGGACGGGGGAGGGGGCGGGGGAGGAGGGGGCGCCTGCGCCTGCGCCGAGGCTGGTGTAGCAGACGCAGCAGCCTCGTTCGGTGCCTTGTTCCTCCCCCTCCTCCGATCGTTGTCCTGCGGGGATGGCTGAGAAGCTGGCTGCTGTGGCGCTGCATTGTGCGATCGACTCGTTTGCGCTCGTTGCTCTTTCTCTTGCGCCGCTGGCGATGGCGCTGATGGTGGGGCAGGGTTGTCACTGGCTGGCGTCGGCTGTTGCTCTGGTTTCGCTCTTGCCTGGGGCCTGGTCGATTGCTGTGTCCGGGCTTCTTCTTTTTTGGGGCCTTCCGAATGGAGGAGGGCAGGGAAAGATCTGCTGTCGTCCTCTCTGGAGGGCTCAGGGGGCCGCGAGGCAGCTGTCGTCCCGTCGCCTTCGAGCAACGCTTGGCTCTCGCTGGTCTGCGACGCGGCTGATCTCATCCTGGGCGCGGGGCGGGAAGGGGCCGCCGGCTCGCTCGGCCGTGTCTGCCCTCCATCTGCGTCTGGCCTTGGCTGCTTGTCGCCCGATTTCTTGCCACCCTTCTTCTTCGCAGGTGGCTCCTTTGGCCGATTTTCCGCCTCTGTGTCGCCGTCAGGTTGTGAGCGTTGCCCTCGACCCCAGCTGGGTGCCGCAGAGTCCGCTGCGACGACCGTAGAGGGCGACAGGGGGGCGGATGCAACCCGCACCACCTCCAGAGGGGTCTTCCTGTCCCTCTCCGACGCACCCTGCACCATCTGGTCGTCCTTGGACGCGCTCCTCGGCTGTTGCCTCCTGTCGCGATCGGCTGCCAGGGACTCTTCCAGGCTGGGATAAGCATCCCTCTCCCGCGTGTGCGATGGCGCCTTGTCGTCTTGCCGCGGCGTGTTGGGCTTGGTGGCCGGCTGGGGCTGGGGAGGGGGAGGGGGAGGGGGCTGGGGTTGGGGGACGGTCGGGGCGATCTTGTTGATGCTTGCCGGATTGACCACTCCTCGCCCATCCTCGCTGGCCCTGCTCGCCGTGGTGACTGCAACACCACCCGCAGCAGCAGCACTAACAGGAGCACCCGCTTTGGGCCGCGCGCCGCTCATGGCTTGGTTGATGTCGACGGTGACGAGGGGCTTCTTCTCGACCTGCACCGTTGGAGGGCGGCTGCTGAAGAAGTCCTCGGGCAGGAAGAGGCTCTTGCTGGATGTGGACGACAGGCCGGGTGCTGAAGTGGGTGTGCAGCTGCCGTGAGGCGGGACCTTGATGGACGGCGGGTGGATCGAGGGGGACAGACCGCCTGACGCAACTGCAACAAGCAAAAGACATAGCGACGGCGAAGGAGATGTACGTCTTTAGATGGTGTGGTTGTTTACCTACCTGCACCGCTGCCGAGGATGCCATCGTTGCTGCCATCGTGTGTGTTCCGCCTGCAGAGAGAGACAACGACGCATGACGCTCTCGCTGGGTTGGATGGTGACTTCCCTCCCCTCCCTCCTGACGTACCTCTCGAACTTGCGCACGATTGAGATGACAGGCGCTCCCGTCCCGGCGCCCCCGCCACTGTCGCCCTCGCCAGGTTGCCTGTCGCGCCTCTTGCGATGGTCAGCCACCATGACCACCCCACCCTCGGAGTGAATGTCATCCCGGCGCATGTTGATCTCGCGGACCTCAGCAGACAGACCAAACTCGCCACTCAGGCTCAGTAAATCCACCGCGGGGTCTCTGCCAGCCCTGCTGCCTGGGACACCTGTCTGAGGCCGCTGGCCGGGTGCCGTCCGCCCTCCTCCTATAGCCGTGCTGCTGGCCTTGGGGACGGTCATGCGGCCCTGAGGCCTGACGGGGATGGGCAACTGCCCGCGACCGTGGTCGGACTCAGATCGCAGTGATACGCCCACCTCCCCTGGCGTGAAGGAATTGCGATTCTTGCCAGATCGGTGGCTCTGCAGCGAGCCTCCCGGCCCTCCGCTGTAGAAGATTCCGCCGCTCCCACTGCCCCTGTTGGGGAAGGGCAGAAGGGCCGACAGCAGGGCATCGGACGATGACGTCGACACCGGTGGGGGAGGCGGTTGCGGCTGGTGCTGGGCTGGGGGATGTGCCTGCCCATGATGATGCGGACGGTGGCTGTGGTGGTGCACAGGGGTCACTGATGGAGGGACCTGGGGCATCGGTGGCGCGGGAGGGGCCGCCAGCGGTCCAGGGGGGTTTGAGGGCGACCCTCTGCTGGCCGCTGAGGCGCTCTTGGGGAAGCCCAGGGGCGAGGGAGCGCCGTAGCTGCTGGACTGGAATGCCTGCAGCACAGCCGAGTTGCCCCCCTTGAGTCGGTGGTCGTCGACGAGGATGGGGACGATGGAGCCATCGGCCGACATGGTGGGGTACGAGTAGGTGGATGCCCCCGACGTGCTAACGCTCTCGTTCTCGTCGAACTCACACATGACGTCGCTCTGCTGCTCGCCTCTCGGGAATGGAAACAGGGCCTCGTGGTGCGGCGGCAGACTGAGCAGACCTGGACCGTCGTTGGGCCTGGACCGGCTCATGTGGGGCATCCTGCCGTGGCCAGGGTCGCTCGACGGCACCGAGTGACGGCCGCCCCTCCCTCCCCCGAAGGCGCCAACTCCTGACGGCGCAGCGGTCACCGTCTTGCCTCGCATCGACGTCCCAGAGGGGAACCTCGCTCCGTGTGATGGGAGCGTGTCTATCGACCGCCAGCTCTGCTCGCCCGCCTCCCTCCTCACATCTGTCTCTGTTGGTGGCGCAGGCACCAGGCCGCGGCCGTCGACGGGCAGGAATGGCCGGGCTGGCCGGGACAGAAGGGGGGGCTGCATGCCGATGCCGTTGGGTATCAGGAATGGCTGGCTGTTCCTGGGCTCCGCGTGGGTGTCGAGACAGAGGGTCGACATGACTTGTGGTGGCGGCGGTACGCCAGTGGCCATGCTGTCGATGTAGTGCAGGCTGGACCGGTGGCTGGGCGGCGGGGGAGGGGGGTGCGGCCGAACGAAGGGAGGTCGCGATGGGGGAGGGTGGGTGATGCCGGGAGAGATGCGGAAGGAGTCGCTGTCCATCGTCAGTGTCCCCCCCGTCGTTGCGATTTGAGTCAGCGGAGACGACGGGACAGACGACGCATGCGCCAGCTCCGCACCCATGTGGTCGACACGCCCACTTGCGATCGAGTCGGTCGTCTTGGCCTCGCTGCGCCCTGGGCCCATCCTGCCGCCCTTACCCAGCTGCGCCCTCTCCCGCTTGGCCTTCTGCTTCTTGGTCAGCTCCTCGCCGCTAGGGTCCTTGGCCGGCGGGGGCGGCTCCTTGGGCAGCAGCTCCTTGGGCCGCCACTTCATGTTGTTGAAGGCCTGGAAGCCGATCATGTCCCGCCCATTGAACGTCTGGGACATGGACCGCGGGATCTGAGCGCTGTCGAGCCGCCTGGACGTGACGGCCGGGGGGTCGTCGGACTCCTCCCTCTCCATCATACCGCCGCTGGGGGCGAAGGCACGGGCGTTGGGGTTCCTGTCGACCTCCCTGTGTGGTACTGGCTGCTCGAGTGGTCCTCCCCCATCCTCCCCTGCCAGGCCCCTGCCCTTGGGCCCCTTCTGCAGAGCTGACGCTGACACTTGTGACTGGCTCTGGCTCTTGCCTGCACGTCCCTGCACCGGCGCTGCCTTGCCGCTCCTGCCTGCGCCTTTGTTGTCAACCTCCCCTCTCCACTCAGTCGACAGGTTCCTGGCCGACCGGGGGGATGCGTCGACAGAGCTCATCACATCCGATGAGGGCGCTGGCTCCGACGGCTGCTCTCTCACGACGGCAGTGACGCTCTTGGCCTTGGGGATGGCCTTGGGCGTGGCCTCGGAGGCCAGCAGGGGGGGCTCCGACTGGCCAGGCAGCGTGGGGCTGTCCGTGTTGACCGGAATTGGCATGGTGGGGGTAGCAGCATGGGTGGAAGCCGGGGGCCGGGCGTGCCGTGATGATGGCTGGTTGGGCGAGGGCGCATCCAAGTCCTCGGGCTGCTGCCCGTGATTCGCTGGAGGGGCGGTGCCGTCCTGGAGCGGCGGAAGGTTGAAGTTCTGCAGGACGCCCAGTGCGATCGGCTCCGCCGGCATCCGCTCATCTGCCGATGGTGGCCCCATAGTGCCCTGGTGGTTGAGCAGGTGCTGCAGGTGGTGCAGACGATGAGCGGCGGATGTGCTGGTGGCCGCGCCGCTGTCATTGTTGGCCGCTGTTGCTGCTGCCTCCTGGTGGTGCTGCTTGAGGATGGTGCAGAGCTCCTTCAGGCCATCGACCTCCTGGTCTTGCGATGACAGCCACTGTGGCCACGGCATAGGGGGCGGCAACAACTGCGCCATGGTCTCGTCACGGTGGCCCGGTATCAAGCCGTTCCGCCCTGCGATCGCGCCTCTCGCCCCTGTTGATTGTCGCGGCACCGGCCCACCATCGCTCGTCGGCCCCGACGCTGCTGCTGCCGCAGCTGCTGCGGCCAGTCCATTGCCCCTCGGCCCATCACCGTCCTGCGTCGGCGGCAGCTGCACATTGCCAAAATCAGGAAGGCTCCCCTGCCGCATTCCCCTGTCGTCAGGGCGTCCCGGGTCCATGACGGGCGAGGCAGCGGAGGATGTGCCAGGCGTGCTGGGCAGTCCGCTCATGCCGCCCCTGGGGGAGGCCCCTCTGTACAGACTGGGGGTGGATGGCTGCGAGCGGGGCGGCAATGGGGGCCGCGGGCCGGGCGGGGGAGGAGGGTGCGACGGATGGAAGACGTTGGGCGTGAACCGCCCGGGACTCCCAGCGATCGACTCATCCGTCTGCGTGAGGGTGTCGGACGAGGCACCCCTGATCGAGTGGGGGAGCGTCAGAGCCGCCGAGCCCGCCTGGGTTGCGTGAGTGCCGTCGACCAACGCCTGCAGCGCTCCAGAGGAGCCGTCGAGGAGGCCCTGGCCGATGCCTGTCGTCTGAGGAGGGGAGAAGTGCAATCCGAATGAGGGGTGGATGATGGTGGGGTGGCTGGTGCCCATGTCGCTGTTGATGGACCGGTCGCGGACGGCGTGCTGTGGCTGTGGCTGGTCGGAGGAGGGGGTCGGGGCGGGGGTGGGCGTAGCGCTGGGCGGGATGAGGCCGCTGGTGGTGGGCTGCTGAGACAGCCAATTCAGCCGGTCGCTGGGATGCACGGCTGGGGCCTGAGAGGCCATCTGGTTACGGCACATAGACAGACAGACAGGCAGACAGATATGGACAAGGGAACCATCATGGACATCAACCGTGTGTTCCCTCAAGTAAAGTACCTGATTGTTGGTGGCATTGGCATTGGCATTGGGTCGCTGTGTTGCCACGCCGCCCTGCATGCGGTTATGCAGCTCGAGGATGCTCTCGAGTGAGGGTGGCGGGGGCGGAAAGTGAGCGTGTGCGTTGAACCATATGGCCGGGGAGTAGTTGTGCAGGTCGTTGTCCAGCATCTTCAACGTGTTCTTGAAAAACTTGCGCAGAGACGCACTGCACTGGCTCTCTGAACCAACGAATGCCGCATATCAGTGGCCATGATCCTTTCTCTAGTGTATGTATGCCCTCGTGCAGTGAGTGCATGGCTCACTCACTCAGGATGGCGTCGAGCACTTCGTAGCCCATCTTGAAGGCCTCTGCGATGCGGTAGAAGGACGTCTGCGAGACCGACCGCCCCAGGTTGTTGAGGTTCATCAGCGGGTCGACGATGTTGACGCTCTTGAAGGCGAACCCGCCCACATTGTAGGGCCCGCCGCCCGTGTTGCCGGGCCGCCGACCCGACGACGCCAACAAGCCTGTCGGCAGCACCGCGCCGTGGTACCCATACGACTGGCTGAAACTGCAGCCAACAACAGACGAGCGAGCATGGGACAGCGGTTAGGCTCTTCCGTTGCCTGTAACAGACAAACCTGCTCCTGAGCGATTCGACCCACTGGACGATCTCCATGGACACGGGAGGCTGGGCGATGTTGGTAGCGGCCCTCTCAAGTTGCGGGTCGGGCAGCTGGGAGAGGGCGTTGGCGGCGACCCCGCCGGCCTCCCTCTTGGCCTCGTTCATCTTGGCCTCTGTGATGCGCTTGAGCTCGTCCAGGGGCAGGGGGCCGCAGACCGTCACGGCCTGCTTGTCCCAGGGGAAGTTGGCGTAGAACTGCAGAAACTTGAACAGCACCTGCATCGCATAGTATCGCATGGCGGACAGAGAGAGAGGGGAAAGCGACAGATACTTCGTGTGACGGAAGGGGGTGTCCTTAAGGGAGGGAGGGTGGTGTGAATGAATGGTGTTCGTATCGCACCTGCAGTGGCGTCCTCAGCTGGGGTTGGAAGAGGTGGAAGACGCACAGTACCAGCGTCTCGAGGGCGTAAGTCGCCATCAGTCCGCTCCGGGAACCCAGCGTGTGGCTCTCATACGCACACCAACACTGCAGCAGCAAGCACCACAATATGGATGGATGGATGGCAGCGACGAAGGAAGGCATTAGGTGGGCCAGGGTGTGGTGTGTGGTGTGGTGTGATACGGGCGTCTGTGGTGTGGCTCCGTTTCGGTGTCACCTTGATGAGTATGGTGGCCCGCTTGAAGAGGTGGAAGTGCCCCAGCCGACGGTCAACGTGCTCCAGAAACACAAAAGAACAGCACCCACCTATCTGCAGGGGGAGGGAAGGGACACCACACACCACACCACACCACAGACAGAGGCAGATGACACATATGTGTGTTGTGAGTGAGGGTGAGAGGGTGAGAGGGTGTGACCTTGTTTGCCGACAGGTCGATAGCGATGTTCCTGACGGTAAATTTGAGCACCCGCACCTCGGCCATGATCATGATGGCGTTCCGCACCGGGAACTGTGGGTGGTGCTCCAGGCTAGGCTCCTTCAGACGCTTGTACACTCTACACACACACACACACACACACACGATGGGTGGGGGATTGCCTCCCTCGGCTGTGGGTGGCTAACTGACAGGTCTAGGTAGATGTCCGATCTTGTGTCGTCGTCCATGACGCCCGTGCCATCCTTGTAGGTGGCAAAGCCGATGTCAATGTCCCCGTCGGGCAGGTAGGTCATCAGCGGCACACTCCCGTAGCGGAACACCGTCGGCACCACACCACGCCCGCCCAGCGTGTCGATGATGAGTTGCCGCACGAAGTAGTACACCTCACGACGGAGCGCCTCATTCTCGGGGCTCGGACCTGCCAGGCAGCAAGACAACCGATGGATGGCAAAGGAAAGCGGTGGAAGGGAAGGAGGTGCAGGAACGAAATGGTGACTGGCGACTGACCTATGCTGACGAGGAAGTTGTCTATCCACCTGCACACCACACACACACACACAGACACACACACAGAAGTGTACATGAATCAGCCAGCCAAGATTTCATCCTCTGGGTGTTCGTGTGTGTGTTGTGAGGCAGCGAACCTGTCGCATTCTGCCGGTCCCTGCGCGATGGAGCCTTCCATCAGGCGGACAGGCGGCGGCCTCCCTTAGCCACGCAATCGTCCAATCTATGCGGCAATTCTATCGGGAGGCGCTGCAACGCCACTCACAGCGATGATGATGCCCTCTACCAGCTCTGCTAAGTCCAGTTGTCCCTCTCTGTGCCAGGCTCGATCGTTTGAATTCTGAGAGGGCGACTCAACGATGCTTCTCTATGTACTCAGTCCTCCGCTTCTCACACCGCTCTGCCCCTTCTCTTCGCCTGACACCCCTTCCATCTGCGAGCTTGAGCTCGCGATGGAGGGAGGAAGTTGCCGGTTCCCTCTCCGTGGCTCACCGCAGGCCGTGGTATATGGGAGTCGTCATCTGCATCTTCATCTGCTGCGCCGGCGCCTTTCGTCCACCCCCAATATCTGCGCATCTGATTCAGCAGACCGGCTTCCCTCCTCCTTATTCGAGCACCCAGATCAAGGCCCCCGAGAAAGCGGCGCAGTCTCAACCCGTCGCCCAGACCGTATGGGACGCCATCTGGCCGTGGGCATTCCCTCTCGCGGCAGGCCTGTTAGCGGGAGTATGGCAACGTGGCTGCTGGGGCTGTGGGTGACGGAGCTGTGTGTGGCTTTGGATTGGAAGATAGCGGCGAAGATGAGTGGACGGCGCGTCCGTGGGTGGTGGTGCCGATGCGGAGGAGCATGTTTGTGCTCAAGCAGGGGTTGCATGGCACCTCCCGGAACAGCGCTCCACCGGTGTGGCTGTCTGGCGGGCAGGCAGCACGCTCGTCTCCCTCATCGACCAACGGTCGATGCACTCACACACTGCTTGTTCATCGGGCCGCTGTGCGAGGCAAGCTCGTCATCGCATCTGCTCGGTGGCCGCACACCGACAGGGCGCAGAGCACGTCATGGCCACGGATGGCGACAGAGATGTCCTCGAACTCGCCTCGACCAACCTGGCCATGAATCGCAAGCTGAGTGGGGGCACTGACGACGTGGCTGTATACCGGCAGCCTGCAGGGAGAATGGGATCTGATATTCACTGGTACGGATATATACGTGTCCGGTGCGGTGTGGTGGTCGGGGAGAGAAGGAGAGGAGAGGCGCTATCAGTGTGCAGTGCTGCCGGGTTGTGTGGTGTGGTGTGGTCTGTGATGTGTGTGCAGGCTAGGCAGCATGCTGATTTGATGTGTGTGACTGACGTACAAGCAGGAGGCGCTGGAGCCTCTCGTGACGACCATCGACCAGCTGTCTTCGGCCAAGACCAGCTGACGTCGCACAGGTAGGTGTGCATCCCACGGATATCCAGCCGCACACACATACTCCTGTGTGGGTCTGATCAGTCAGCCCCGCTCTCCCACCGAGATATCAACAGTCAATTGCCTCGTTGACATGCGCCAAGGGCCTGCAGATGAGCGAGATTCAGCTGGCCCCGTCGCTGCGCGGGGGCAAGGGATTTACTTACGTGTATGGCTGGTGTGTGTGGTCAGAGAGAGGCAGGAAGGGCGGCTGTCGTGTCGAGTGTATGCAGTCATGTTGAGGGAGGGAGGGACCATACGGACGGACGTGGCTGTGTTTTTTCGCGGCGGAGTCGCGCGGGCGTCGCATTCGCTATTCTGTGCTACTGTGTGTGTATGTGGCAATGATGTGACTGGCGACCTTTGTGAGGGTGTCCATCCAGCCATCCAGCCACGCGTGGTTTGTCGATAGGGAGGGAGGGAGATCGAGCCAGCCCTAGGGAGTCGATGGTAGATGAGCACAAGCATACGTATCCCCCTTTTGGTGTGTGAGGGAGGGAGGGAGGGAGGGAGGGAAGGACAGGCGTGGCGGTTGTTTTGCCGGCTCGTCAGCTTGCTGCTGGCGACATCTGGCGCCATGTGGTCACATGGCACCAGATGTCGTCACCTTGACTTGGCTCATACGGAAGGACAGCCGCCCGCCAGGGTCATGCACGTGTGAGCGGAATTGAGTGTGACACGTGGTGGGTGGGACTGCGTGGAATGTGCAGACATCTCGATAGATATTCCACTCGACATGAACGTCTGTCTGCTTGATGTGATGACCCAAAGCAGGCAAAATCGGTCGCTCACCGCACTCACCGCATGCACAGGTACACGCACAAGCCCTCACCCCAGCCAGGGTCTGGCAGTGAGTGCGTGTCTGTCCCCATTGGCATTCATTGTCCGTCCCCCTTTTGAGAGCCAGAAGTAAGCTTGACGCACTTGATCACACACGCCCTGCATGACTCGCACCCCCATTGGGGGACACGTGTGTCTGTGTGTCACTCATAATTCTTCAATGTCAGCAGTAAGTCAGTTCATCATGATGGTGCGTATGAAGCATTCATTACTTACATTCACGGTGGTTCATTCACAGAGTGGCTGCACCAGCTGAAGACGCCAGACAGACAGACAGATAGACAAGTAGTTACGTAGGCAGACTGACCTGGTAGGTATGTCTGCGTAGACGCATCATCGATTCGATCACACTGACTGACTGACTGACCTCCACCCCTTAAAACCGAACGATGTGTGTTGTATGTAGTCCCTCATCATCGCCGGGTGGCGGAAGAGAGCACAGTATATAAGAGAAATACGGCCCCAGGAGTGTATGTAAAGTACGTACGCAGGTGGGGGGAGGGGGGGGGGGGGGG